ACACAGCAAGACATTTGCTCTTTTCTCTACACTTGTTTCCACTGTTTTTCTGCCGCCACAATGCACGCACAACTACAATGACGTGATTTGAAATAGGTCCAGAAATATAGTTTTTGAAAATATTATCCAATCAGGCTCGTTCCTCCAGCAGTCTGCAGCTGTTAATGTGTATACTGGACTGATATGTGTGGTGAGAGAAGCAATCAAATCTGCTTAGAAATCTGGTTACATAATTCAGAACAATAGCTGAATCAATTCTAACAGCTAATATTACTATACTTAAATTAGATGTTAAAAAGTGCAGGCTGCATGAGTATACAGACTGAGCTTGTGACTAAATAAGTCTCCACGGGACTTTGCATCTATCTTCATTTTTTCCTGGACTCACTTTAAACCATAATGCAAAAGAATTAATAAAAAGATTTTATTTATAAAAAGTGTGAATCTAAGAGCGGGTCCACACCAGCGTGCGAACCAAACCACTGCTCTTTGGTCTTGGAAAGGGGGTCTCCTGCTGTGAAGTGAACTCTGGAGAGGTTAATTTCTGGTATCACCACCATTCAAACCATTTACAGGCAGCATACCGTTGTATGTGTCATTTCATTGGTTAAAATGTTTTCTCTTCCTGTTTTGGTGACTGATGAACTACTAGAGTTTTTGCTCATCAGAGCCAGCCGTCTTCTGTGTTAAGACCGTATGACTGCAGAACGTCTTTGTAGAAATGCCTGCATCATTAAATTGTTAACTTATTAATTATGAATAAATGATCAAGTTCTTTGAAGCTGAGAAGTAAAATATTAATTAAAAGATTTGTCAGTGCTGTCCTGGTGAAGTAAACAGGTGTTGTTCTCATGTCATTTTAATATTTTGTTATAATTGTATTAATAGTGTAGTTTTCCCAGTCATGTTTATTGTCCCACTTGGATGGAGCAGAGACCCCACTTAAAAAAAGAAACCAAAAACCAGCCCAAAAATTATCATTTTATTCATAAATGTTTATTTTATATACATGTGTTTGTATTATTTCTTAGTGTGGTTATGTAATATTTCAGTTTTGTTTTATGTTAACTTACACCAAAGCATCCTACTGTCACATTAAAACAAAACATGATGTCCTTCCACAGCTTCATAGAGTCCCTGTGAAGGGCCAGTTCCTGGAGGATCACACATCCATGGGGCCACTTCAGTGAACAAAGCACAAGATTGAACAAAGAGAATTTCTTACAGAAGACACAAACCAGACGACATCAAATCGTACAGTTCTGAACCTTTTGAACTAAATGCACATCTTGATAACGGACCTGACTTCGGCGGCAGCGTCCAGAGACATCTTACTGACGGAGGAAGCTCTGCATGAAGGTCCTCCCTGCTGTGAAGATTGCGGCTGCTCCCAGTCCGTCAGCCAGCAGGTGAAGCTGCTGAGCTGGGCAGGCTCTCACTGCAGCGCTCAGGTGGCTGTGGAAGAACAAAGACAAACAAATCTATTAAGTTTGTTTCATTTCATTTCCTTTGAATGCGGCTGTACTACACTTAGATTCATAGATCCTGATCATCCACTGTGGTCTTACCTCAGCCCATTATTCAGCAGAGTGGTGAAGACACGAGCAGTTCTGCATCAGGGCTTCCAGGGCCTTGTTGGCCTCCTGCATTCAGAACTTTTAACAAATATGAGACCTGACTACATAGCTTATCCATTGTTGAAGTAAAACCACAGTGTGGTGTCAGAAACTCCTGATTCTTTTGAGCTGAGCAGCTTGAAGCAAAGACACCTTTCACAGGGTTAGAAAGCAGCTGCAGTTCCTTGAGTTTCTTGTTGTCAGCTGTGTGGAGGTTGCATGTATGTCTATCTTCTTGCCTTCAGTGACAGTCTTTGCAGGGTGCAGCAACATCCCATGTTGCTTTTCTCTCTTCTTGTGTGGGACCAGTTTTGGAAGAGGAGCTGGAGTAACAGGTGTCACTGTAGGGTTCCTTCTAGGTACTGAGGGAGCTGTTGGAGCAGGAGAATGAGTAATGGGTGCCTGAGGAGGTGACATCTCAACAGGACTTCTAATCAGCGAGATGGCTCTCAGCCCATTAGCAGTGCGAGTATCGAGTGAGCTGACGGAAGCTGATGGGCTGGAGCTGCGTTCCCTGCCGAGATGCTCCTCCTCTACCTCCTTGTGGTGTCTCTGGGTCGTGGATGTCAAGCTATTGCTCAACACCTCTGCATTCATGGTAGGTAAACAGGATGTAGGTCTGATAATCTGTCCTGGGACAGATGATTTAGGCCTTGATGTGGGTCCTGGGACCAGCTGGGGGCTGAGGTGAAAGTTTTTTAATAAGACTAATACGGAATTCAGTATTTTTGAATAACACTACTTCAGTGGAATTAAGTACTGTTGATATAAACAAATGTACACAATATGATCATTTCCATACCGGTAAACTGTTGCAACCTTATAAACAGCCTCTCTGTTTGATGGATCAGAGCCTCTGTAAGTCCAGGATCTTGCACTGACAGCTGAAGACTCCAGTAGTCTTTTGTCCCTGTTGGCTCTCAGTACTCAGAGTACTAGAAATAAACTGCTGGTTCACTTTACCACTGACGTCATTGAATAATGAAGTCGTCATTCAGAGCTGACGGAGGTTGAGAGGCGGACATTTCATTCAGAGCAAACAGCATGACAAGCTCCTCATTAGCAACAAAGAAAGAGTGTGCTTCTGTCAATTAGACACAAGTGTGATTCAGTACTGAACATAGGACACAGGACGTTTTACTCAACATATTCACTCTTAGTCTCTGATTAGTGCCAAAATCCCTTTAATTAAAAAATGCTTCAATAAAAACCAGATCAGTATTCACAGATGAACTAACTGTCTCCAAGAGCCTACAGCACTGTGACGTGCACACCTGACCTATTGCTTTCTAATGAGATCATTTTGCTCCAGCTCTCGTTTAAAACAGATCACAAGTCATGCTATCTGTTTGTGATGCATTGAATAAAATGAAAGGCTTGTGTATCTCTATCAATCAATCAGTCAATATCAATCTGTCTGCATCACCCGACTGCACCATTCTCAGGACAGATGTGTATCTGGATCACATGCCCATTACACCTGGTGGTTACTCATCATGATGCAACCATATCCATCAGATTTCAGTCTACCTCATACTACACACACACACACACACACACACACACACACACACACACACACACACACACACACAAACACACACACACACACAAAACAGCTGTAGATTTCGAGGTCTAGCTTAAAGCTTTTTGGCTGTAATAAATTGAGAAGACACTAGACTTAATCTATTCTATTCATCACTGTAGTCCCTTTGGTATCATGTATCATATCAACCCTATTACCTGAACGCACCACAGGGACATGTTAGACTTGAACGTAAGTAAGTAAAAGGCAGAAACGGCTAGAAGAGGGGGGCTCAAGCTAACACAGATGGTTACTGTCTTTGATGTTAGCAGCCCCAGAATCACTTTCTGAGACTGAAGGATGGAGGACACATGGAGCAGATGGACTAGTCTGTCTGGGGTAATGCATTTTAGATGTTAACTTAATCCTGGCGTCATTTGTTTGGAGAAGGAGAGTTGAAAAGTCTAAGGCAAGAGAGCCATGATCTGTCATTTTTCTAACTGACCTTAAATGCATCATCTGGCCTCTGCAGGAATGTAATTTTTATTTTATAATAGAGGTAACTCAAATGTTTACTGACTAATCTCTGCAAGTTTAATCAAAGTCTCTTAAATAAACCCAGTGGAACAACAATGAGGTGAGTTTTATGACCTTATAGTACCTGATGGAACAGCACATGTATGCTATGCATCAATATATAGATACTGTCAAAGGTATCAACTCACGACTTGCATTATGCAGTTTACCTCTGTGCCACCAGAGGGCACCAAATTGTTATCCATGACAAGACATTTTAAGTGATATTCTAGTCAGTTTTTGTTTGTAGTTCACACATTTAGTAGGAGGCAGTATTTGTCATATCATCTATGGACAGAATAATAGAATCTGGCCAAAACAATCACTGTAGTAATCACTAAAGAAATATGACCCCATAAGTCATTATATTCATAGACTGAAGCTTCATGTAAAATCTATTGTTGCTTTGACTTTATCTTTATTTTACAGTGTCAGTGTTTGGTTTGTTGTTTTAAAGGCTTAAATAAAGGTTTGAATGAATGAAAAAAGTAATTTACTATTGCTATGTTCGAATTATGAATAAATAAATTGGTCCCAATGCTCATGGGTTTCCCACATGTTGAAATTTTATTTTGTGCTGTTGAGAAGGGTGTGAAGCTGTAAAGCAACATGAGCCGTAAAAAAACACAAGCAAACAAACAAACACAATGCAGTATCCTTGCATCCTTATTTACCTAATCAGCATATCCTGTTGCATTTTCCTGCAGATCCTCAAGGAAGAAAGAATAAATTCCAAAACGTGAGGATAAATCTGTTTGGGTGAGTTGTAGCCATGCTGTCCCTAACTCCCCAGGATTATAGGAGATGTGTTGGAGAGATTACATATTTATGGGGCATGGAGGAAATGTGGAGCTTTTATTTTCGTAATGAATAAGTAAATAACACCTGTGTGGCTTTGTTAATCATCTGAATCTCCAGAGGGTTAATGTTTTAACACATAATCAGGGAAAACAATTTGCAACAATTTGTCTTTGGTAGACATTTCTTGTTTACTGCTGAGACCTATCCCTGTATTATAATTTAAAATGTTTGACTACGGCTCAGGATAAACTGTTTAAATGAGTTTGGCTTTCAGAGGAAAAGGGTTATGAGTGTTTCCAGACCTCAACCTCCTGAATGACCCTCTCTAGTTATGTTCTACTATATATTAAATGTTAAAGGGAAGAACCACCATCAATCACATAGAGCCACTTTAACTTAAGTACAATTACAAAATAACTGCATTGTGACCTGATCTGACTGTATCGTTAAGGTTCAAAACCAGTGGAAAGCCCAAGGCAACCGTTCCCCTTTTTTATGAAGTTTTTTTCTATTTCGCAAGTCCGTTGTATCCAGCCGGCGTGTTTTTGCGGACGTACCGGTCTCGTCAAACAACAAATTAAAAGAAAAGCCAACCAGGTAATTGTACGATAAATCATTTTAGCATCACTTAAAAACGTGGGTTTCTGTTGTGTACATTTACAGTGTGTATAATATTAATATGTTGCCTCAAATATAAACATGACGGACGAGCTCTACGACCTGTCACGATTAGCTTGCTAACGTTAGCCACTTCATTTCCTGAATCAAGCTAGCTTTAACCAGCTGACAGATTGTTTCAGTATTTACCAGCTCAATGTTTATTGACATCGACTTATACGATATGTTTCTTTTAAAAGCAGCTCAGCAGGGCTTTAGTTAGCTAACCAGTAAGTCATCGTGTCCATATGCACTGAAAAGCCCCACACCCACATCCTTTCTGTGTGTCTTCTGCAGGTCTGATAATGGAGTTTGCAGAATTGATAAAGACACCCAGGGTGGATGGGGTTGTCCTGCATCGGCCTTTCATGCCCACTGTGGAGGGGACCCTGTGTTTGACTGGCCATCACCTGATTCTCTCCTCCAGACAGGACAATACAGAGGAGCTGTGGCTGCTTCACTCAAACATTGACTCTATAGAAAAGAGGTATTGAGCTTCTTATTTTTTCTTTACTATTGTGGGGATTTTAAACCTTTTTACTGAATCGATTCGCTGGTAATGTCAGTGTCAAATTGTTGCTTCATTAGTTGCGGTTTAAAAAGACTGACACATGAAAAAGAGGAGAGGACATTGAGCAATGCATTTTTGCCTCGTTGCACTTCTTCATGAAACTAGAAAGATCAGCGGGACATGTATTTATGAATTTCATGAAATCATTTTGAGTAACAATGGAGAAAATGGAGTGAAAATAAAGTTTTGTGTTTGACTGTGGTTACATTTCACATTGCATGCCCCAGATTTGTTGGTTTTCACTGGCATTTTTTTTTTTTGACGGTTGTGGCAGGAAGTTCAAGTCTGACTGTGTGCTGTCACTGTGTGCTATCACTACAGTTTTTCCCACAGGTTGAGAACGTATTTTGTGTTGTTGAGAAAGGTGCGGAGCAGTAAAGCAGCATAGAGGATTAAATGTGGGCCGTAAACACATCGCAAGCAAACAAACAAACTAATGATTGCACGTGAATGCTCTATCCTGGTATCCTTATTTCTTAATCAGCACTTTCTGTTGCATTTTCCATGCAGACCATTGGAAAGGAAGAAAGAATAAATTCAAAAATAAAACCTGTAAGGAGGAATTGTAGCCATGTTGTCCCCTACTCTGCAGCCTAATAGGAGATACATGGGCAGATTACCAATTGTTTACCTTCGTGTATGCAGTGAGCATGGTCTGCATTACACTTTGGAACATTAGAACACATAAATGGGACTGTTTACACCACAGGTGTTCAAATCTATAAAAACACATTAGTGAGTTTGCTACAAGCAAGTCCACTTGATATTGAAGCTGTCATAAGATAAAGTAGACTTTACTGATTTACTGTGGAAATATCTATTCTCACCTGGGGACCCACTGGGGACCTGGGGACCCACTCTAGCTCTGAGGCCTGTGCCTCTAGTCAAATGAGTTTTCTCAGGGCTATTCTCGCTGCGAAACAACCTTGCCAGCATTGAGCATTTGTGTCTTTCCCATGACAGTAATTGTGCCTGCTGTGCTGTACAAGTTGAATAAAATCGTTAACTTCTCTTTCAGATTCGTGGGGTCTCTGGGAACCATTATAGTCAAATGCAAAGACCTGAGAGTGATCCAGCTCGACATCCCTGGCATGGAGGAGTGTCTTAACATTGCCAGCTCTATTGAGGTAGTTAACAAAAAAAAGAAGATTAATTTCACTGCAAAAGTTTTCAATGTTACAAGTTGCCATATTTTCACTGTACAATACAATTCTACAATTTGATTAACCAACACATATACTTTATTCCTCTCTAGGCTCTGTCTACGCTTGATTCAGTCTCCTTGATGTACCCTTTCTTCTACCGACCCATGTTTGAAGTCATAGAAGATGGCTGGAATTCATTTCTTCCGGAGGATGCCTTTAAAGATTTGGAGTCCATGGTATGAACATGATCAGTGACAAAAACATTCACACCTGACATTCGCTCAGCCGTCTGCTGAACACCCCTCTTTTAACCTGTTCCCATTCCTTTTATCAGACAGACGAGTGGAGACTGAGTGACGTCAACAAGGACTTCAGTGTGTGTCCATCGTACCCCCCTCTAGTGGCAGTGCCCAAAGATATTGACGATGACACACTGAGGAAAGCAGCGACCTTCCGCCACAGTGGCCGTTTTCCAGTACTTAGTTACTACCACAAGAAGAATGGCATGGTAAGCACCTGGGAAATGGAGTTCATATGATTCCGTTTCAAAATGTTCTTTGTGTATTTAAACTTGTCCGTCTAATGGTCGATTGTATCATAATAAAACACCATCCACTTTCAGGTGATGATGCGATCAGGGCAGCCTCTGACAGGCACCAACGGGCGCCGGTGTAAGGAAGACGAGAAGCTGATCAATGCCACCCTGCGGCCAGGCAAACGGGGCTACATCATTGACACACGCACTATCAATGTTGCACAGCAGGCCAAAGCTCGAGGTGGAGGATTTGAGTCTGAGGCTAACTACCCCCAGTGGAGGAGGATCCACAAGGCACTCGAAAGGTACGAGCACTGTGTTTTTCTTATGTTCTTTTTCTTAACATGAATAGTGTTAAATCTCTTTGGTTAGAAAGTGATACTGATACCATGCGTCAAAAATTTGTTTTTCAATGTGTAATCGTATTGTGGAAATGTATATACAATATATATGATATATTCAGACATTTCTTTTGATGTTGTCATTTCCAGGTCCAATGTCCTCCAGGAGAGCCTGATAAAGCTGGTAGAGGCGTGTAACGACCAGTCACACAGTATGGACCGCTGGTTAAGCAAACTAGAGGCTTCCAGCTGGCAGACTCATGTCAAAGAGATCCTCACCACTGCCTGCCTGGCTGCCCAGTGTATCGACAGGTCAGGGAACGAAGTTTGCTTGTTAGAATAATCCTGGACCAGTAAATACTAAGCTGTACAATATAGGCAATACCTTCACCTTTCATCTGCTCTGTACACACTGAGTTGATAAAATCATAGTTTTCTGTATTAAATCAGACAGTAGAGAAGTATGTGACACTCTGTAACAAACTGTAATCATGTGTGTTCATGTCAGGGAGGGAGCGTCAGTGCTGGTTCACGGTACAGAGGGGACAGATTCCACCCTGCAGGTCACATCCTTGGCTCAGATCATCCTTGATCCAGCCTGCAGGACCATTAGAGGCTTCCAGGGTCTGGTGGAGCGGGAGTGGCTCCAGGTGAGCTTACCTGACTTTTCAAGCACAGACCAGATCTTTTTCACCTTATTGATCAAATAAATAACTGAGAATGATCTTGTTTTAAAAGCTTCGCATTTTGTTTTTAATTATAGTTTGGTATTTAAATTTAAAGCACAAATTACGTTAAAGAGACATATATCACCTCACATAATCTGAAGTTCATAAACTTTTCCATAAAGGAATACTAATTCTGTCCAGCAAGCATTTTAGTGTCATAATGGATGTATTCTTTGCATTTCTCCTCATGACCCCTCTCACATCTGTGATCTTCTATCCCAGGCGGGTCACCCGTTCCAGCAACGCTGCGCCCAGTCGGCCTACTCCAACAGCAAGCCTCGCCAAGAGTCTCCTGTCTTCCTACTCTTCTTGGACTGTGTGTGGCAGATCCTTCGCCAGTTTCCGTGCTCCTTTGAATTCAGCGAGAGCTTCCTGGTTCTGCTCTTTGAACATGCCTATGCTTCTCAGTTCGGCACCTTCTTGGGCAACAGTACAGCTGAGAGGTAAGTTTGTGGAGGTTGGCCTACCAGCTTATGTTAGCCATCTGATTAATGATTTTGTTTAACATTGGTGCATTTAGCATTGTGCAAACAATTTGACTTTCCTTCACATTCTTAAGCTATAGGCAACTTCTGTTCCACAGAACTAGACTCTCTCTGCCTGAGAAGACTGTATCCCTGTGGTCATGGGTGAATCGGCCCCAAGAATTGGAGCGTCTGACCAACCCGCTCTATGAGGCCAACAGTCTCGTGATCTGGCCCTCCGTGGCCCCCCAGAGTCTGCTGCTGTGGGAAGGTAAGACACAATCAGTTGGTAACTATAATTATATATAGAGAGCCTAGAAGGTCATTCTATTTAAGAGAAGGCAATAGTCATTTTACAGTTGTAACACACTGCAAGAAACAACTGTCTCAACGTTAAATATAATTAATTAAAGCAGCAACAGTGGGTCTGTGTAAACACACTAAAGCAGGTTTGAGATAAACTAATATGCCTTTGTTTGAACAGTTGATGGAAGAGCCTTAGAGTTACTCTGCTTACCATAAAACTGTTCAACTGCTCAGTGTCACACTAAGATGTACATTGTCTAAATTAAATTTCCAGGGCGCAAAACTTTAATATTTTGTCACTTTTGCATGGAAACTATCCATTTGAGGAATGTGTTAATCATTCTATCCTTTCAAAATACTTGTGTACATACACAATACTGCACATTTGACTAGTTTAAATGGTGAATATACGCCAAAGCAGACTGGGAGTAGGCTACACCACTGATAGCAATCCTGATATTCTCGTTTGATACAGAAAGCCTACTTCTGTGTGCATCAACCAATAGCACTGCCTGCTGTGTACATGATGTTGTGGGTTGTACTGAAACCAAGTCTGGTTTATCACAAACCTAAAGGAGATGTTAGCAATATGTGGGAAATATGTTGTCATAGCCACAGGTATGCTACCATAGCATTAGTCATTCGTGATCTATGATTTTTTTGCTCAGCCCCTTTGAAATGTAACCAGAAGGGGGCGCCATTGATTCCACCATTTGCACTACTGATAAACTGAGAGACCCTGTGAGCCACTAGTAAATTATGTGATTTAAATATTTGGCCCCCATATACATTCACATACATAAATGGCTTTGTAACATAGTTCAGTAAATAATAAACAATCTAAATACTTTTTATTGTAATAATATCATTATTAATAGATGTATTTTAACTGATATTTAAAGTACAAATATAACAAGATATAATAAAACAGTGAGCATATGTGTGTATATATATATATATATATATATGCATATCTAAGTAGTGAATGTCTTCCTTATGAACCATAAAGAGGCCAAACTCTGTATGTCGCCATTTAGCTTTTTTTCCCCCTCATTTGGCTTTCAGCACCTTTCACATTATCAGCATTTTTCACATTGCTTCCCGGGCATCTCAAATGATGTGTTTGCCTTACATGTTTGTCTTATTATAGGTTGCACAGAACGTATCCTCCTCCCTGACACCTGAGCCAGTGACGGTTTACTATTAGTTATCAGTTTGCAGTCACATGCACACTATTCTTAGTCCTGTGGCACGCTTTCATTCTTTTAATTCTTCCATCCTGTTCCTTTGAAATGAACTATGTTACATTTCAAAGGACCAAATGGTGGAAAACTAATTGAGCAGCGATACATTGATGGTTCCATAATGCTTAAGAGAATTTGTGTGGGTGAAGTGAGCGAGAAAGAGCATACTGCTTTTCTTTTTTCTCAGCAGCCTCTCAGCTACAGGGTGAGACTGAGATTGTATCAGCCGCTGCCTTTTCTAAGCAGAGATAGTCAGTTTTGTCGTTTAAGAAGAACTGAGTTAATATTTCTATAATTTTGGGCTCAGTGACACCAAAAACGTTCCAGTGGAATCTATGCTTGAACGTGCTAGATGTTGCATCAGCTCATTCATAAAGAAAAGCCTAGGGGTGGGGTCATCAGGTTCAGGCGATCCTGTGTGAGAGGCCCTATTTTCCTGCCTAAAGTCTAAAAAGCCACACCCTCATTTTGAACTGCTACTGTATGTATGAGAACTACTGAAGTATGTGAAATGCAACAAAGAACCTGCTTTCACAACCCCTTCATAGAAAATTACAAGCACTCCTGGGCCAACTTAAAAGACCCCATAGAAGTGCATATCTGTACATTTCTGAGGGCACACTTGCTTCAACTAGGCAGATGACTTCAAAGGGAATATAGGAGATAAATACGACTACAAATGTGTGACACGAGTTGCTGTGTTTGCATTTGTTTAGATTTGGAGTTGAGTTTTTTTTAGTAAAAATGCAGAGCAGTGTCGTAAAGACTCATAGCTCTGTTTTCTATTGCCTAGTATTTACTGTGTAATCCAGAGACAAAGATGCTTAAATCCTTTCAGTAATGTATTTTTATAATATTTATGTGCCATCCAGGAAAGGAATTTGCTCCTACTAAGCTAGAACACTGTAATCCTCCAGCTACTTTAGAGGCACACGTTTTTTTTTCTAGGTTTATTACTTCTGTGAGTTTGAAGGCGTTTTCCTATTGACTAGTGAGTTATGCCTTTCTTACTGTCATTATGATGGACGAGTCACCTCCTTATTGTGTTGTACATTCCAGTCATGCAACACATCTCTGTGGTCACATTTTCCAGTGTATCAGTGCCTCAGCTGCTCTGTCAAAGTCCCCCACCCACCATCATAGAGAAAGTGCAGAAGAGGAAGGTTTTGCAGTTCTTTTTAAAACTAGTCAGATCTGATTGTGAAACCTCAGTAACCCTTATGTGTATCTATTAATCTCAATGTTTCTACATAAAACTATTTATGTTGATCCAGTTTATCCCATGTCTTCTGATTTATTCTTGCATTTTTGCATAAATTGGACAGTCAACAATAACAAAGTTTGTTTTATTTACAGTTTCATATTCTTTAACAACCCTTTGTGTATTATAAAAAAGATAGATATCCTGGTTGCGGTTTTTTAGCCAGCCTGTTGAATAGCACATTTGGTGCAGATGGGCATGGTTCCAAGATGATGAATCCTACTGACTTTGGAGATCTTTTGACACACACACACACACACACACACACATATGATGGTAAACATGGTAAACAAATGATTATGATCATTATGATCAAAGCACTGCTGTGGCTAAGCAACACAGAGACTCTTGCAGGGTTGTAGACTCTAATTTAGAGTTAGAGAATAAGAGAAACCACTTCCTTGTAATAGGTTTTGATCTCCACAGATTACTTACTGTTCTTCACCCCTTTTTCAATTACAGGAGTGTTCCTTCGCTGGAACCGCTCCTCGAGGTGTTTGGACGAAGCCTACGAGGAAATGGTACACATAATTGAATACAACAAGGAGCTTCAGAACAAAGTAAACAGCCTGCGCAGACAGCTGGCCCAGCTGGAAACTGAAGATCCTCTGCTGCAGACACCATAGTGTGTGAGAGAGAGTGAGAGAGAGTGAGAGAGAGTGATAGAGAGCGAGAGAGAGTGATAGAGAGCGAGCGAGAGAGAGAGAGCGCTGCAAAGGGAAGCGAGATGGAAGAAATAGGTAGAAAATGTGAAAATATGATCATTGTCAGCCCTGTTTTAGGCTTAGGTTAGGTTTAAATGTTTTTCAGATGTTTGAGAATATCCAAACAATTATAATTTTGGATTTAGTACATGATTGTTGTTACATTCTGGTGTCCTGCACAGAAAGATGCAATGGAAATTCCCATAGCAGAAATGAACTTCAAAATCAACCTTTCTTCAATTTTGCATTCATGCACAGTTTACATATCAGAAAGGACTGAACGAGTGCCCTGACACTTACATACAGAGAGAAACATAAAATTGTATCTCATTTTACATTTCACATTCAAACTAAGCCGGATTCAGAGTACTATTTCTCAGAGTGCTGCTAATATAAGCCAAACACTCATCATCTCATAGTCCTCTAATGTAGAGCTGACATGATTAATTGATTAATAAATTCGCAGACAGTCAAAATGTTTTGGCAGTATTTAGATAATCGATTAAGCATTTCAATTATTTTTACAAGCAAAAATGCCAGACATGCGCTGTTTCCAGATTCTAGAATGTGAGAATTTGCTGCTTTTCTTTGTCATAAATCATTGTAAATTTGAAAATGTCAGCTTGAGACATTTTAATGGGATATTTTATTTTTTTTATTTTTTTTCATTTGCTGAACTGATTTATCAAGAAAAATAATCAACAGATTTAATAATACTGACAATAATTGTTAATTGCATCCCATTGCATCTTAATATTAATGTGCACGCAGACCTGTGTGTACAGAAAATCCTGTTCCGTTACTTAAATTATGCTTCGGCTTGTCAGCTTGATTTCACAGTTGCTTAGCCTTGTCGAACCCCCGCGTCTCACACTCGCTGACTCCCATTTACATACACAGATATCTAAAACTTCACTGAGCGAGTCCATTTCCTCCCAATGCGTGTTAATAGATTTCTCTGACTTTCTGGGCATTAATCTCGTTCAGGAGGGAATACTGGTCCTTCGGATGTTCCTTTACTTACAGGGTACACATTTGCACCAAACATCCTGCTGAATGTATATGCCACTGAAGCACTGCGGAGTAACTATGGAAACATATAGGGTGCTATAAGGCAGCATGTGACTTGGCTGCACGTTGAGATGATATAATAAGCGTAGGTAGGGTCAGCACCTACTGTACTGTACAATGAGAGGGGAGGCTTATTTAATAGAAAACCTGACCAAAATATCCAGATTGTTGAATGTTTATGAGATCAGTACTTGACATTCCAGTAAGTAGCATTGCCAGAGGTATTGAGAAAGACTTCTTTAACTCCAATGTTAAAATGTTAATGCGCATGATTTGGTTGTGTTTTTGTCACTATCTTTAATTAACTTTAATCAAACTTATTAAGTATAATAGTAAAGTAGTCAGTTATGTTTGAGCGTATGATGTAGAATAATGGTGGTACAGAGGGTCTTGTTGCCACAGTAATGGGGGTCATGTCGGTCGTATGATTATTATAAAGACTTTACAGAGTTAAACACGAAGAGTTTTGTCTGCTTAAAAACTGAACATATTATATTAATGTGAGATTATTGCTTTAAAGACCAAATTATATTTTGGTAGTTAAAGTTATATTTGTTGTGTTCAAGAACTTTTATTGAACAAAATGCATATCTGCTGTTTAAGTTTAAGATCCAGAACTAATGCACTTTGTATGAAAGGCATACACAATATCAGAAACGTACTCCTGTAATTCTTGTAATCAGCATCATTTTTGTTGTAAGTACTCACCAGCTGTTGCCATATTAGTCAATAAATGTCTTACTATTAAACATGAAAACATGCCATTAATCAGCTACTGTAAACTCAGACTATTAGACTTACTTCAGATGACACAGGCAGTGTCTCATAGGAGCATTCTCACTGACCCAGGACTCGTCATATTAAGACCAAAACCACAAAAAATGTTCTTCTTCTTTTAAACCTCCTTAAAGAGGCTGCTCAACACGTTAAAACAACTTCACCTAAATTCTCTTTGCTCATCTTTCAATGCTGTCCATGGTTGACGGCAGCTTCCATTGGCACAATATTACACTATAACACTATAATAAGAGAGCTTAATGCTGCACGTTAAATACAAACTGGCAGTTTTGGGGTTAAAATTATATCCAGTGTTCATCCTGGACCAAGTTTTGTTTGTTTTGCCAGTAAGAAAAGGCATTTTCTCTGCTTTCTCTTGTCATCTTCATACATTTACTCTATTTTGCTTCAAGAATTATGTAATGATCACACTAAACTGAATTCCAGCTACTACATTAAAGTGCTTTTATAAAAGGAAAGTTGCTTATAGCTGCACTATATACATATTTTTCTTTTGCCAAAAAAAGACACCTTACCTGCCGTTGCTTTGTGTGTGCATGAATGGAACAATTAGTTCAATCGAGGTAATGGTGTGCGAATGTCCTATGCTTGCATTATAAATAATAGTATCCTTAAATGATGGTTGCTTTGTCAAAGTCAACAAAACTCTAAAAGATTATCAGCACTGTGGACAAATACTGCTTTTGTATGTTGTACTCGTCAGTTTTGTGCAATGCCTTACTGCAAAATCCGAATTCAAAATAAACATTTCAGCTCTTTTATCACTGCTGATCAGATGTCTGTAAAATTATATTATTGTTCAGAAGATTGAATGTTTTTTTAAGTTTTCATGCCATTAAACATTATAGCACAAAGGATGTTTGATTTTGTAATTATTCATTCTCTATTTGTGTAACCAGGTTTTTTCCCCAGTCTTAACATTTCATACTAGTATATTACTAAACTTTAAAGCTGCACTAATTTATATTTTTATATATAAAATGAATCAGATAACTCTGAAAGGTGTAGCTGGTAGTGTTGAACCCACAGAGAATTATCCCCTCAGCTCGTTTTAGTGTCTTTCAGCTCATTGTTTTGGTTTTACAGCCTCCAACTTTCTTTAGCAGCCAATCAGCCATGCTAAAACGTTCATCATAGCAACCTTATGTGGTTATATATGTCAACGTTGTCATTCATCTGGCCTCAAGTGGCCAACAAAATCATTTATTCTGACTTTAAAGATATCGGGATTGGTGGTTTATACAAACAAAATACCTATTGGGGGCCATGGTCACGTTTCCACATACCCTGTCCCCATATGGCTCGTCCAAGGATTAGTTAACAGCAACCCAGCCACCTCACAAATGTTGCCATCCCTGTGACGAAAGGATCATCTGATGAGGTGACCTGGGAATAAATAGCCAGGACTCAGCTGCTTCATGGAGGCATGTGATGGCAGCCAGTGTTTACAGTGCTATCGTCCAGCCATCACTCTCCTTTCCATATTAATGTGGCCTTGCCTATGTCACTACTCTGATTTCCAGACTGACTTCCAGTGGAAAAAACTGGTTGGCGCAGTTCGCTGAACAGTTTTTGTCAGTGGTGCTTATGTTCTCAGCTGGGCTTACACAACTACACTAACACTGAAAGAAAGATTTAATCTAAAACTGTTTTACACAGTTATCAGATTACATTTTCCTCTCATGTTCCCTGGGAAAGAAGGTGTGGGGGGACTTGGGTTATATAAGTTCATCCACATAAGGCACAATATGTCTGATTTTTTAAAATGGATGCAATCTAATTTTTACGATAACCAGGTTTTGTGTGTCAGTTTACAGATGAACTTGTTTTTAAGCAAATAATGACAGGCATGGGGGTGTGCACCCGTCCACCACTCACGTTTCAGCACCAATCTTTATGTCCACCCTTTTGCTCGCTCCCCTCAGAGATATCGTCATCATCACCCTCTTTGGCCCTCCCTATCTACCGCAAACAGACCTCAAAGTCAAACAGAGGGTGCGTGCATATTCACATCTTCTCTAGATAAACATGAATGAATTCTGTTACATTCAAATCAAATGCTGTAGAGTTTCACCAATCCCTGCCAGGTCACAAAAACCTGCAACGATTTGGTTTTAAGTGCCCTTTAAAACAATATAATTTGCTCATCTTTAAAAGTGTTTGATTACAAGGACACATCAGGTTTATCCTTTGTTTTGCTTTATGTATAGTCCATCCACGTTAAAATTACTCATTGACTTGTCACAGTATTTGTATAGACTCATGAGGTCAATTGGCCCCACTTGTTGACAATGTTGTTACATTGGCCAAATGTTCAAACCCAGAAAAACTTTGTTTTGAATTCAAAATCCCAAAGTTTCCAGAGACAACAAGTATGTCAGGCTTTAGTGGGAGCATGTATACAAGGATGCTTAAGATGAGAATAAAATATTTCTATATGATGAAATGGATCAGCCAGAAAAACATGGAGTCATAGGTTTGACGTGTAAACATCTTACAGCTTTAAGATGCACAGTTTGGAACAAGATGATTTTTTCCAACCTTAAAGTTAGTTAAGTGGAAAAGGACAATACTGTATGTTAAGGAAACTAGTAATATAGATGATAATAAACTATATATTTAAGTGTATTTCAGGTTTAGACGGTTACTTTAACCAAACATGCAATTTAAAATCTAAAATAAAAGTAAATCTGGGCTTTGGTAAATTGTGATGTGCACTTCTTTGCTATTTTCTTACATTTAATTCTAACATATGATCATAACCGAAAATTGAATTGGCAGATGAATCTAATATAGTCAGCCATATTGCAGTTAGATGATCCCCTTGTTCTGCTACATAAACCATAAAGTTCCATCACTCCACACGCAGTATCAATCGCAGGAATAAGGAATCATTTTTTTCGGAGCCAATCCGTACTCGTGGCCCTCGGAGCTGGACCGGCAGTGAATGGACCGCATTAACGGGATTTGGCGGCGGGGGCGCTGGGTGTCGGCGAAGCGCTGTGGGAGTGGTCTGCGAGGGAGGACCGCACCTCCGAGGCTCGACCAATGCGAGAGAAAGCCGGCTTCCTCTCAAACCAGATGGCCGCTGATATATAGCATGAAGACGCAGCTGATGCAACACTGGACCGAGATAACACAGACATCGCGCCGGAGCACTGTAGCCTACAGGATCAGCTCAGAGAGGAAGCAGCGTCTCATTCTCATAAAGCGAGTCAGGCAGGAGTTCGCTGCTTATATCCTGTACATTAACCGGTGAGTCCACTGCTTCCTGCATTTGTCCGCCCATGTGGAGAGACTAAATGTGTTTTAAAATGAATGTTTTAATTTGATTTATCAATATGTGTAATGCTGTTGGTTTATTTCATTTGCCTGCTTCGACCATGTGCTTCTTTTATTCATTTTAGAAAGAGTTTTATATATATATGTTTAACTAATATTTCACAGTTTGTGTGATCATGTGGAGCTGCCTGTCTAGCCAATTGAGACCTCCTATTATTTTTTTTGTTGGCCCAAGCAACCAAACAGTCCTTAATTATATCAGACATCAGGTTGCCAGCTAACAGTGACGGGTTGAGCTCAGGCAGTGTGCCATGACAGCTTCACTCATGCGCACTGGCCTGGTTTCATTTGTCTGGCTTCTCAGAGACCCCCATTCTTTAAAAAAAAAAAAAAAACAGTGTATAGGCCTATCTAAAATAATATGCTGGTTGTTCCTCAGACTGTTCTCCATCACTTTAGTCCACGTGGACAGCATCCACACTAAATGGGGCTCAGCAGCCTTCTATCATTAACTACAGACATTACCTAGACCCAACGTGGCGCGCCGCTTCAGGTCCAAAAGGAGGGACTGCTCTGAGCACCCACCCTGTTACACAACTGGCTTACATGATGATGTTGGCACAACAGTGAGCAGCACATGTCAGGGTGGCAAAAAGGGTCAGGAAAGGAGCCAGGAGCGGCTTTTTTTGCGCAAAATGATCTACAACATTAACTTTTACTGTTGCTACTATATATGATCTGCCCAATAACCATAATACTAATCATAAAGGTCTTGTATTATATGATATAGTCTCCACATGAGATTTCCTCCCAATAAGGTGTTAGAGATGAAAGGTCCCTTATTCCTAAAACGTTCCAAAAATATTTCCAAATCCTGTCCCGGTGATTGTGGACCTGATCTTGGCACTGTTTTCGTCTGCTACTGTACGCCCTCTCTCTCTGATTGGCTCTCGTTGAAGGCAGGGCAGTATAAATACTCAAGTTACTTTCTTCCTTCCTTTTTTGGAAGCTCGCAGCTCCCTCGGTAAGTTCACCTTTTAAAATGACGCGTTGCGCAAAAAGTGGAGGCGGCTCAGGGATGGAATAAGTTCAGAAATGTCGGGCAGACTCGGGGCCGCTTTTCGTTAAATTAAACCCACTTATCCTCTTTTAAAATACAGGACACAATTGACAGCTGCTTTCTGTGTTCTCACTTAATGTTTTAATGTGTTCTGTAGCCGTGCGCGCTTCTAAAACTGCAATGCATGTTGGATTATTTATCCACAGTAAAGTCCCATTTTAAAGTTTTGTAAAAGTGTAAAAAGAGGTAGTTGATAAAATGTTTGGTGTTGCTATGCGCTCTGGCGCTCCTTTGCGCCTCTTTGGAGACAATAGCCTATCATTTGCATTTGAGTGTAGTCTACGTGTCTTCCCCTGCTGGTGTATTCTCTGCATCTCGGACCGTTTTTCTTTGTTCTGTAGATGTGTTGGGGGTCTCAGCATTTTGCCGCAGATACATTTGAAAGCGGTCAAGAGAAAAGCCATTTTTTTTTTTTTTTTTTTTTTTTTTTTTTTTTTTTTTTTTTTTTTTTTTTTTTTTTTTTTTTTTTTTTTTTTTTTTTTTTTTTTTTTTTTTTTTTTTTTTTTTTTTTTTTTTTTTTTTTTTTTTTTTTTTTTTTTTTTTTTTTTTTTTTTTTTTTTTTTTTTTTTTTTTTTTTTTTTTTTTTTTTTTTTTTTTTTTTTTTTTTTTTTTTTTTTTTTTTTTTTTTTTTTTTTTTTTTTTTTTTTTTTTTTTTTTTTTTTTTTTTTTTTTTTTTTTTTTTTTTTTTTTTTTTTTTTTTTTTTTTTTTTTTTTTTTTTTTTTTTTTTTTTTCACCTACCTTTTTTTTATTTTTTTTTTTTTTTTTTTTTTTTTTTTTTTTTTTAAATTTAATTTTTTTTTTTTTTTTCTATGTGATATTTTACTATTTTTGATTTTTGTAAAATAATTTCTCATATTTCTTGTGAAACACAATAAAAACACACAACCAATATCAAGCATTTTACTTAGCAATTGGAGAAATAACTATAAAACCTTATTTTTACCTCCAAGTGCACACTTACCATATTTGAGCTACTTAAAATAATATTCTCAATATTCATGGCTAGATGGTTACTGACTACACATCTAAGACTACACACACATCAATATCAACATTTTTACTGTAGCAATTTGGAGAAATTCAACTATAAAAGTCCTTATTTTTACCTCCAAGTGGCACACTTTACCATATTTGAGCTACTGTAAAATAATACTGCTAATATTTCATGGCTATGATGGTTACTGACTACACATCTAACTACACACACACTCAATATCAAGCACTTTTACTGCAGCAATTTGGAGACATTCAACAATAAAGGTCTTATTTTACCTCCAAGTACATTTCACCATATTTGACTACTGTAAAATAATATTGCTCAATATTTCATGGCTAAGGATGGTATATCTGACTTCAACTAACACTACACACATACTAATATCAAGCACTTTACTGTAGCAATTGGAGAAATCAACAAAAACTTATTACAAGTCATTACCATATTGATACTTAAAAAATATTGCTCAATATTCATAAGTTAACTCACACAAAACACACACACACTCAATATCAACTTTTTACTGACAATTTGGAAAATAAAACAAAGTCCATATTTGTACCTCCAAGTGGCACATTTCACCTATTTGAACTACTGTAAAATAATATTGCTCAATATTTCATGGCTAATGTATACTACTCTACACATAACACAACAATACTCAATATCAACACTTACTCAGCAATTGAAAATAAAACAAACCATATTTACCAAGCATATACCACAAACTTAAAATAATATTAAATTTCATGGCTAGGATGTGTACTTAACTACACACAAGACTACACACACACTCAATATCAACACTTACTCAGCAATTGAAAATAACAAAATTCTTATTTTACTCAAAGTGCACATTTACCATATTACTACTTAAAATAATATTTTAATATTTATGGCTATGATTTACACTACACACAAGACTACACACACACTAATATAAGCACTTTACTACCAATTAAATAAACAAAATCATATTTACCAACAAACACTTAAAAAACAAAACAGCCACATTAAACAAACACAAATATAACATTACACAATAAAATCAACAATAAATTATTTATTTTTTTTTTTTTTTTTTTTTTTTTTTTTTTTTTTTTTTTTTTTTTTTTTTTTTTTTTTTTTTTTTTTTTTTTTTTTTTTTTTTTTTTTTTTTTTTTTTTTTTTTTTTTTTTTTTTTTTTTTTTTTTTTTTTTTTTTTTTTTTTTTTTTTTTTTTTTTTTTTTTTTTTTTTTTTTTTTTTTTTTTTTTTTTTTTTTTTTTTTTTTTTTTTTTTTTTTTTTTTTTTTTTTTTTTTTTTTTTTTTTTTTTTTTTTTTTTTTTTTTTTTTTTTTTTTTTTTTTTTTTTTTTTTTTTTTTTTTTTTTTTTTTTTTTTTTTTTTTTTTTTTTTTTTTTTTTTTTTTTTTTTTTTTTTTTTTTTTTTTTTTTTTTTTTTTTTTTTTTTTTTTTTTTTTTTTTTTTTTTTTTTTTTTTTTTTTTTTTTTTTTTTTTTTTTTTTTTTTTTTTTTTTTTTTTTTTTTTTTTTTTTTTTTTTTTTTTTTTTTTTTTTTTTTTTTTTTTTTTTTTTTTTTTTTTTTTTTTTTTTTTTTTTTTTTTTTTTTTTTTTTTTTTTTTTTTATATTTTTTTTTTTTTTTTTTTTTTTTTTTTTTTTTTTTTTTTTTTTTTTTTTTTTTTTTTTTTTTTTATTTTTTTTTTTTTTTTTTTTTTTTTTTTTTTTATATTATATTTTTTTTTTTTTTTTTTTTTTTTTTTATATTTTTTTTTTTTTTTTTTTTTTTTTTTTTTTTTTTTATTTTTTTTTTTTTTTTTTTATTTTTTTTTATTTTATTTTTTTTTTTTTTTTTTTTCAATTTTTCGTTTTCGTCATTTGAAAGAGTTGTGAATTGAAGCGCTTCCCCCGCAGTTGCCGGTTTTTGCGTCGAGCTCTCTGTCTGCCTCATGGCGCCTGAGTTCTGGAGAGGAGCCCAAATCTCTTGACACAGAACTTCATGCTTTGGCCCCGAAAAATTTTATTAACAGAGGCCACCAGATGATGGCAGTCAAATATATTCTATGTCACAGCCTAAAATAAGCAGAATTTTCATGCTTAAAAAAAGGAAAAATACCTCTTGTCACACTTGATCTTGCTGATGTCTGTGGAATTTGACCACCCAAATGTCACCCAAAAGCGTAAACACATTATTTTTTTTCCTCCACAGGTATCAGCATGCCTGTTATCAGAACCCTCAGCAAGGTGGCCAAGCAGGCCCTACTCAGCACCCCGGGGTGCGGCTGCCAGCCCCTGACGGTGGCTGTGCGCAACATCAGCTTCTCCCCTCGGCAGGTGACGTCTGACGCCAGCTTCCACTCTGTGTCCTTCTCAGAAACGGACCACCCCAAGGTGCTCATTACAGGTACGCAGCAGAGTCCCTTTTATCAGGCACTGTAGTTGAGATGAGGATTATGAATATAAGTTGTGAGCTGATACAGAATGTGCTCTGCAGGGATTCAAGAGCAGCAGGATTTCTAACAAGTTTTGCAATAATAACAGTTAAAAACAAAGTGTGGGTGGTAAACGCTGACCTCTTTCTTATGGCCTGCTCTCCTTTACTCAAGTCTCCATGGAAACTGGGACTGATGATTATTACCTGCTGTTTTAATGTATGCAGTGTCCCTCTGATGACACCCAGTGTTTTTGTCTCTCTCCCTGTAATGCAGGAGGCCTGGGTCAGCTCGGGGTGGGGCTCGCCAAACTCCTACGGTAAGATTTTTAAAGCGTCTGTGCACAATATTACACATCGTTTATGGAGTCTGGGGCTTTTTCAAGTGGTATAACATTTGCTTCCTGCTTTACAGGAAGAGGTTTGGCAAGAACAACGTCATCTTGTCTGACATCAGGAAACCTCCGAGCAATGTTTTCCACAGTGGTAAGTAAATACATATACTGTACTGAGACAACTTCGTACGGTGTTTGGTTTTTACTTTCAGGAGAGGCTTGCAGGAGTGGGGGTATTATGTTACATTCATTTGGCAAATGTTTTTGTCCAAAGTGTGTTCAGCCTCAAGGAGCAAGAGCTAGCTGTCATCACAGTGCCATCTCTTCAGTGTGTAGACAGTCTTAGCACATGGTCCAGTTTGTCCTGGAGTGTAGCTATGACATACCCAGAAAATTCAGGCATTTGGCAATGACGGTTGTTAATGTGTTACAAATGTTCGCTTTAATGTCAAATAACAGTACAACAGCGTTGGCAAATAAATCTTATTGACTTTCATTCATTTGCGCTCATGAGGAAGTCATGTTTTCCTGAAATGCTGTTGATAAATTACTCCAAAATCAATATGGTGACACACGGGGAATTGTGCTGTAATGAGCTGTCTAAAGATGTAATGAATGTAGCAGTAAACAGCTTTGAGTTGTAAACTAAATTGAACAGGCCTTTTTAATATGAGGAATTGCTTTTAAGAAAGTCTGTTACAAGCTAGGTATTGGCCCTGAAACACAAGCAGAGTCACTGCAGACGAACAAGAAAAAATACAATCAATTCTGAATAAGCACTTTATACAACAGTTGATTCATAAAATCTTCAATCATCTCTGTCACCCTCAGGCCCCTTCATCTACTCAGACATCCTGGACTACAAGAACCTGCGGGAAATTGTGGTGAACAACCGCATCACATGGCTGGTTCACTACAGCGCCCTCCTCAGTGCTGTTGGAGAGGCGAACGTGGCCCTGGCACGCTCTGTTAACATCACCGGTAAGCAGTTTTAATGACTTGCTCATTTCTCATCGTATCGGCTCTAAAGATACTTTGGTCTTACAAAAGGTGATATGTCGTGTCCTCATGGTTGTGTTTCTTTGTCTGTTTCTTTAGGTCTTCACAACATCTTGGACATTGCAGCAGAGCACGGCTTGCGTCTGTTTGTCCCCAGCACCATCGGCGCCTTCGGTCCCACTTCTCCCCGCAACCCTACGCCAGATCTCTGTGTGCAGAGACCTCGTACCATCTATGGTGTCTCCAAAGTCCACGCTGAGCTGATGGGAGAGGTTAGAGCTCAGATTTCTTTTATCACTCTAAAACACTCCTCTGGATGCACAATTGAACATTTTCTGATTTCTGAAATTGTTTTTAATGTAACATGTTGGCAATAACTGCTTCCTCTCTGTTCTTCGGCAGTACTACCACCACCGCTACGGCCTTGACTTCCGCTGTCTCCGCTACCCAGGAATCATCTCTGCTGACTCTATGCCAGGGGGTGGCACAACAGGTGAGAGAGATGAAGCTCAGACCATATACAAGGTTTCAATTTTAATGGACATCTATTCCTGTAGCGTTCCTGTCATGTCACAAGTTAGTTATGTAACTGACTTATTCCAGAGTGCTGCTGTGACTTGTATTTTTAGGCCTTCAGATAACTTGATGCATCATCTCCATGTTTTCACTTGTCTGAACAGCTACCACAACCCCCCCCCCTCGCATTCCAAAAATCTGTAATCAGCTTGTTTTTTCATTACTGTAGTATCAGATTGTTGCGCTTTCTTTCTCTTTCTATAGTTGCTCGGAAAGGTTTGTTCCAGAATTTGTGTCTTCATAATTATATATTTTTTCTGCCTCTGACCAGACTATGCCGTCCAGATTTTCCACGACGCAATCAAAACTGGCAAGTTTGAGTGCAACTTGAAACCCGACACACGGCTGCCCATGATGTACATTGACGACTGCCTGCGTGCCACACTGGAGGTGATGGAGGCGCCAGCTGATACACTGAGCATGAGGACCTACAACATCAACGCCATGAGCTTTACCCCAGAGGAACTGGCCCAGGAACTCCAGAAGCAAATGTCAGAGCTGGAGGTCACGTATGAGGTTGACCATGTACGACAGGCCATTGGTGAGTCATCGTTTGATTTGTTAAAGCAGGAGTTTAAAAACCTGTTTACAACTGGTAAATACAGGACAATGCACATTGAATTTACCTTAATTGTTGCTTTAAAGACATCATTTGCTATCTGTGACATGCTAAAATGTAGTATAACACAAGCATGTGTAGGGAAAACTCAAAGTTAACAAAGTGACTCAGCAGCACTGTCAGTTACACAGCAGTATCTATTTAAAGTTAGGCTGTAGCATCAAAAACCTGAGCAGGAGTTCATTTTATTTCTCATGAATTGTACTTTTCAAGAGGAAGATTGTGAAGGTAAAAAGGTTATTAGCAAATAGAGTCTGTAGTTAAGGGAGGAAACTCTTATTTGATAACGGCTGTAAATCAAACCCTTTTGTTTGTTTTCCAGCTGACAGTTGGCCAATGAACTTTGATGACTCCAACGCAAGGAAGGATTGGGGCTGGAAGCACGATTACGATCTCCCAGAGCTCGTCCAGACGATGCTTAACTACTTCGGTGCAGACACGCTCATGGCTCGTGCCAACTGAGCAACATGGTCCGAGTATTCTTTGTACATAATGTAAAGACTGACCAAAGAGAATAGAGAAACATTGCCTGTACATAGTAGTTCTCTCACTTCTCTCTATAAAATCAGAAGGCCTCTGCTTGCCTGGCACAAATCTACAATGTCTTCAGGATGTAAAAGGTCAGCGTGGGCTAGACAATCCTCCTTGCTCCTGTCTATCTACCCCTGCTTTGCTCTCTTTCTCCTTTGAAACTGGGTGAAGAGCAGTCTGTCAGCAGAAGGTTGTCCGCATTATCAGGGATAACATTGTGGCCTGGAAATCCAAATCGGTCAGGGTTTAGTTTTCTGCAAAATTTCCAAGGATTGTCAAAAATCAGGTATCGAGGGCGTAAAAGCTCCTGGGGATGAAATCAAATGGGTGTACAAATACACAAGTTGTGTCCTTTTGATGCACTTTAGACAGATTTGTGTCTTAAAATTACTGACAAGTAAATGAGCCGAATCACCTGCAGGGGCGGTTTCTGATACAGTGCATCTGTATTTTGAGCATTGTGGAGTGATAATACTTAAGAATTGTTCTTCTGTTTATTCCACGTAACATTATTTATTCTGTCTGTTGATGTTAAATATGTGGGAGCTTCAAGTGAAAGCTTTTCTTAACACTTCTTGTTTCTAAGTGTTCCTGTCCACTTTTATGATGTTTTTTTTTTCATCAACTCTGTGGGAATTATTTTGCCACAAAAGCAAAATGTGACACTGTCTGCCACATTTATGTTCAGCCACATTTGGTGGTTTCTGTATTTTCAAAATTTTGTAAAAGAAATGCTGGAATTGGTTTCTATGTAGTCTTAGCAGGTTTTGTCTGTCCTTTCAATCGCAACAAGCTTTGACAATAAAACCCTTTTCCAAATACCCCTGCCTGTTTTGTGTTGCCATTTTCACACCTTCACAACATGAAGAGGAAATTTAATCTCTAACAAGCTCATCTTGATTCTTTTACATAAATAAACTGCAGGCGATGTTATCTCAGGGCAGTGGAGAGCGTCCTGACAAACATTTGGGTACAAAATGTCCTCGCAGTCTGTATAACGCATATCTCTGTCTGTCTTTACTAAAAGAGTTTTAGATCGGTTAACATTTAAATTCCCTTTTGGTTTAATACTGTTTTAAAAGGAGCCAAGCAGCCTTATTGGGTCGCGGGTTATGCAAGCTGTGGTGCATTACATGGATATCACTTACAGCATTACTGGCAATGTGTAACCCACAGCAGATATAAAATGAATCAGTGCGTGCATTTAGTGATCTTGAGCAACGGTTCTCAATTTGGGGGATGGGCCCACCTGGGAGCCATAGAGGCACTGTAAGAGGGGCATGGATTACCAGGGGGGAAATATGGAGTGAAACTGAGAAAGACGTTTGTTTATGGAGGGAAAATAAACACAGAGTTTACTGGTACTGACCATTATTGCACACTCCCTTTATTATTAGTTGCTTCCTCTATCATTGTTAATGATTAATAAAAACGTGTGAGGCTTGGGGGCCATGTTTTTGAGAATGTTTGAGAACCACTGCAGTGGAGTAAAGCTTTATTCATTTATTTTTACCTTTATTTTACCAGGATGTCCCATTGGGATCAAAACTAAATGACAAAGAGACCTGAATTTGACCTTTATTGACGTAGCTGTTGGAATCGTCAGCAAAAAAGAAAAAGTCGAATTGCATTTACCGCATTTCTGAACAGGTTGAAACCAGAATTGTCTGAGTGCAGAAAGGAGAAAATATGACTGTGTACAGAGGCAATGTGTGAAGGTCTGAGCTTGTGCTGTTGGCAGCTTAAACCTGTAATATATCCTATGAATAACTCTGTGTGTCCAAACCAAAAGTGACACAAGGCATTATAAGACTTGAAGAAGAATTGAAGAAGTGTTGGGATGTGCATATGTGGAAAATTGGGAAAAACATGTCAGGATACCATTTTACACAATGTAAGCGTGAACCTGCTTTACTCGTCGCTATTAGCGTACTGTACGGTGCTGTGTAATTTAAGGTTAAAGCTGCAATTTAAAGTTCAAGCTTGAAACCCTTTGTCTTATACAGTTTTACAGACACAGCGACTCCTCCAGCTGGAACTCCTGTTTTGTGAATTGTACTTGTGCAGGTGCAGCCGTCATTGTCGAGTACAGATTAAATTACGTTGCAGTTTTCAATGTGGACTCATAATGACAAATAACAGAAGGTGTTAATTTACTGACCTGCTATTTTTGTTTTAACACTGAGGGTGAAATTGTAAGTTGATGACATGTTTTAATACTAGATGTGGATAATCAGTGAGTTTGATATAAAACAATATTTATAGTGTACATTTTGGGTAATTTAATCTTACCATTTATTTCCTTCAGACAGACAGACTCAAATGAAAGCATCTGCTGTTCAAATATTCTTTAGTGTGTGTGAAATATATACATTTATTTCCCCAATATGATTTACTAGAGTGGAGTAGTTAATATTGCAAGCAGGTACATATGCTGATGGAAGTATTTAGCCCAGATGAGAAAAGTGTCCTCCTCAGCACGTCAATAAATGCACTAAACCGAAGCTGCTGTATATTCCTCACTGAACGGGATCATAAACTCTAACCCTGAGGACAGCGATGTCCTTCACTACACACTTGATAGCCTTTCTTCAATTTCTCTGTGTCAGTAATTGCAGCTGTTGTTGACCTTATTTGGTTTTGTTTCTCAGTTGTGCGGTGGAGAGAAAGAGAGCACAGAGGGGAGACGGACTGCCTGAGTGCACCCAGAGATTCACTTCATTCAGCTAAATTCAGTGTTAAGTAAGGTGAGGTGCATTTTCCATTTGGTCTCAATCATGAGCCACTGAGAGTGAAGAGCACGCACAAACACTTCATGAGCTATTGACACAAATTAGCACTTCTCCTCTGTGAATGTGTGCAAATAGAGCTGCAGGTGTGCTCTCCGGTTGGAATGAAAAATTATAATTTTCTCATTACGAATCTCGACGAACAAGAACTCGTGCACAGGCTTTTTCACATTCATCTCTGTGACTCCACCAGCAGGAATGATTTCACACTGTTCTCACAGACGTTCTACAAACAATATTATCTTTGTTTTCCTAAGATTTTGCAGCTTGTACAACAGGAGAAGACAAAACAGTGTTAACACCTCAAGGAAATTGACTTAGTCATGCTTACTAGCATGCCTACAAACGTGTTTAGAGTCGCTTTGAATGCAAAAAAAAATGCATTTTTAGTTGTTTTAAAATAATTTTTAAACATTTTAATGAAGTCCAGTTCATAAAGAAAGATAAGACAACAAACAGGCCACACCACTTGTGTTTAAGTTACAGCTACCTGTGATGGTAACTTTCTGTTGTCAAAGTTCTTTTAAAGTGTATTTCTGTTCTCCCTCGTATTAAAGATCCTGTTCTTCTACCTTCAGGCACTTGGTAGCGACATTGGAATTGCAAATGAAAATCAATATTTGCAGTGTTCCAAATATATCTCTAATGCAGTTTTCCAACTGTGGTGGAACAGAGTGCCTTTTTGCTGACATTTAGCTGCAAGTGTGAGATGATCTTAAATAACTGAGAGTAGCCTCGATGTCGACTAATGCATGACTAAAAAACATATAGCTTTCAGAAGTTACAACAAATGTGGCCACGTGTGCAGGAAAATGCAATGCGAGCACGTAGACCTATTCCAGGGACAAAACATTCCCACATTTTGTTTTACATTTCTGTAAATGAATGTGACTGAACATGTGTGCGCCTCACAGATGAAGGTGGTGGTATTTTGAGAGAGAGACAAAGAAGCATGTGACAAAATGTGTACTTTTTCCTTGGTTTTCTCTCTCTAGTAAGGGAGACCTTGCCTCTTATGTAAGATGTCTCCATGGGTGTGCACGTGCAGTTGCAGGCCCGCCTCCCACCGGCCAATCAGGGAGCTTCCTCGGTCGCCAGGGCCCCAGTGTTTTGTTCGTCAGCGTGTAATAAGATTCACAGAGTGTGCAGAAGCTTATGGTGGACTGGGGCAGAAAGTGAAGGACGAGACATGAAGAGGACCGGGGAGGGGGGGCAAGGAGGGAGCTGTTGGGCGGTGGGCCAAAGACGCCATAACACTCTGTGCCACAGCTGTTATTCCACATGAAGACCTGTTGCCATGGAAATAGAGCCCAAGACCCCACCACCAGCACCACCACACTCCTCCCACCATCTAACCTCAAGAGAAATGTGAGGGCCTACTGTACAGCACTCCTTTACAGCCACAGTACAGTCTCATGGCTTCTCTATTTCTCAAAATGTTTCACAGTTAACAGAAGTGAAACATTTTAGCATTTATTACTGATTTCATGCTTTTATTGTCTTCAGTTGTCTTATTTGGATTTTAATCTTTATGTTTTATGATTTTGTCTTTATGCTGCAAAAAGGAATTCCTCTTGTGGGACAGTTAAAAACTGCACTCAACTTCTTCTGTTTGTTTTTTATTTTGTTTAGGAAACACTTTTAGAAATCATTTAATGTCTTATCCACTGCTTCAGTAGTCTGGAACAGCTGATGGGCAGAAAATCAATTGTGACTTTGGGATCATGGTCACATTTATAAGAGTTACGATTCAATAATCCCTGAGCGATAAATTCAGAATGTCGTTTTTGACCTGACCTGACCTTTACATTGCGAGTGCACCGTTCGAATGAGTGACCTGTGCATACTAAAGCATTTTAAATCATTTTAAAACAGGCCATAATGCCTGTGACTCACAGAGAACTCGTTCAAGGATAGGAGAAAAAAAAAAAGAATGGCAAGATGAGGTGCAATGATACTGTAAAATATTATGAGCTCTATTGTCAGCTTCTTTGTAGGACAGCCTGGTTGAGGCAAGTTGACAATACTAATTTTCACTGATCCAACTGAGGCTGTTACACAACCTCACCTTAATCCCATGCTTGAAGTAGTAACTTTAACCACAGATTTGGGGCCAGATTAGAGCCATTATAAAAACAAATTTACCGTGCAAGACTCTTTGGCATACAAGATCACCAGTATCTTTACCTTGTATAGTGCATCTTTCACTTTAACTTTAACTATTACTTGTTTATTTATCAATTATTTATCTATTCAATCTATGCTGCTGGAGAGTGAGTGTCAGTTTTCAGTATTTGATAAAACCATAACTATTTCATTCAAGAGTGATTTGGATAAATATCTAAACAAATAGAAATGTAGACAAGGATGGATTTAACAAATTAAGGGGTTAAGTTGTGCTCAAAGTCATTATTTTATTATCACGATTAGAAAATAAAAACTATGTGCATCTGTCCAGTGGATGTATTAATTTAGAGTGGTGCCGTATAGTACATATGGTGCTGTACAGACGAGCGACGCCAAGATAAAAATAATTGCATCTCAGGAGAGAACATGTGTGTTACTGAGACTAGATTGGTGTCACTTTCTAAGGGAATAACTCTGAGCTAACAACACCAAAACACATTCCCTTTTTTGTTCTTTATCACATTTTCTCCCCTGCTATCATATCAAACATAAAACTTTCACTATAAATCTTTAACCTTTTCTCTCACTTAAATCCCCTTTTAACATTCATTTGACGTCAATGTTCACTTAAATTTTAACTTTTAATTAATAATTTACATGGAAAAAGAAAAAAAGTTTCCTTTTTAACATAAACTTGAGTACTTCTCAAGGCAAACGACTCCTGAAGGTGACTCAAGTCAGCCTGTTTTGTTTATCCTGGACACAATTTCAAAGAACTAAGATACAGACATCTTCTAGGACTATTCAGCATAAATAAATATTATGGTAATTTTTTGGCACGAAAGAACTGTGAACACTGGCCTCATATCTAGACTAAGACTTCTGATAGCGCTGATAAATGTTCCCAGAAAGTGTTTTATAACACAGAAGTAACTCAAGGACACTCACCACGTAAAACTACAAAGTAATCACCTGTAATATGGAGCCTGAAGTGTGCCACTGGATGGATATTAGACTTAGAGCGCTTAATTGTAATCATCTGAAAAAGCTGTAAACACCAGGCTCAACATCCCAACAGCAACTATAAGTGAGACCAAAGCAACCACCCAGTAACATCCTAGAAACAACCACTGACACTCACACTACTAGTCTACTAATGTTACTGTCACTACTATTACTGTCCTTAATATGGCAGCTATAGCTTTCTACTAATGCTTTAGTCACTGGTGGTGTGTTCAGCCAGTTGGTCCACATATCAGCTAGAGTTGTTTACTAGGTGGTTGTGGTGGTTAAAGCTGCTGCCTTCAAGTGCTCCTGTTTCAGAGTGAAGATGTTTTTGTTGGCAGTGAAAGAGATTCACAGTCTTGTTCAGAGAGGACAGAATGATGCTTGTCTACTCTATTTGGTTTAAAGCTGCTTCTTAGCTCTCTGGATAGCTCTCTAGCTGCACTATATTGAAATTTTCATGATCACTAGCTGTTATGTTTTTTCTTCCAGTAGTACAGGAAGCCGCTCTATACCTTAAACTGTTGAATTGCGATCTTGTGCGCTGCAGCTTAGGTTCAGGCCATCACATGCAGCAGTAAAAGCATTAGGAAATAATGACATTACACACAGGTATTGTAGCAAGACCACGTTATGCAATACTTTGTTTGAGTTAGGCACATTTTAGTTTTGGGTGGAGCGTGACTAATAAATCAGTGGGCTGATATCAGCTGATAGCGCTTATACTGACTGATCACAGACGCTACATATACATCTACATATATATATATCAAAAGATATGAAAAAAATGTAATGTTTTCAGTCTGTATTTTTAAAATATTTAATTCATGTTGGAGGAAGGAAAGATCACATATTTGTGGTATTTGTACTTTTATACAATTGTAATCGTTGAATTTTAGTTATATATATTGTATATTTATATGTATTTACTGTATATTATATAATCCTTCCAGAGTAGGCCAAGTTTAGTCAATACTTTAATAATTGATTTAAGTGTATGTGCATGAATAAAATGATATATTGCTAACATTTTTGGTCACATTTTCTTTACACTGATATATCAGTATCAATCTCACAGTATCAGTTAGGCTATAGCTGTGGGTTCATTGAACCTGGGTGACCCAGTCCACGTAGCATGTTTTTATGCTTTTTGTGGCTGTGGCGCCCTCTGTTGGTGAAGAGAGGTCCCTCGCAGTGCTACAATAAAATAACGATAATATTATTAGTAAAAAAAAAAAAAAAAGACTCATTAATATACTTTCATTCGTATGGAATACGACAAACAATAAATATGTTTATATGGATATATTTACGACAAACAACCAGCGTAGTCACATATTGTCTTCAGGCACTTTCTAGGAGCCCTTCTCGGCTTTGGTCAAGCTGTTTAAGGACCCCAGGATGTCCATGCTTGCCGAGCGTACGTAAATTTCTTCTAAAGTTTTAAAGGCTGTTTCCTTTCTTCTTTCAATGTAACGAAATGTATCTATATGTTTTGTGTTCCCAAGCAACCATGGCTCCCAGCGGCTAAGAGACCTGCTTATAAAAATATTCAGTATTACGTACTTTTGTAGTATTCGGGTAGCTAACATTAGCATCAACTACAGCAGCCTATAAACACGTGTTGTCTCTGCCTCTGAACTGCAGCGACCTGTTTTTAGCTACCTGTTTTGTCCATAATTGCCGAACATTTGTTATTTATGTGCAGTTTTTCTTGAAGTAAACTTGTTGTAAGCGGTGACACATCGTTTGCTCAGCGCATGGTCAAAGGTTTGATTCCGTCATGTTGACAGCTGGCTGTCAATCTTGGCTCGTAAACTATTACAGCGCATACACACTGACTGTCTTTCCTACCTTGGTTTGATTTGCTGGTCCCGGTTGTTTGTGTCGTGCTCTGTTGGATGACTGTGATGTAATAATATTGCTGCTCTCTGTCCAGCCCGGAGGAAACAGAAGTGGTCTGTTGACCCCAGGAACAGCGCCTGGAGTAAAGATGAGTCCAAATTTGGTCAGAAGATGCTGGAGCGAATGGGCTGGTCCAAGGGCAAGGTGAGCTTTGAGACGGATCTCTTCAGGTTGATTAAAAAGTGCTGATTTGTTTGGCAGTGAGTGGATGAGCTGGTGAAAATCTGTCTCACGTTATGTCTCCTCTCTTCATGTTAAGGGCCTGGGCAGAAGTGAGCAGGGCTCCACGGACCATATCAAAGTAAAAGTTAAAAACAACAACTATGGTCTTGGAACCAGCGCCAGCTACGAGGTGAGCACCTTCAACACTTACTGACATTAGTTGTATCGAGATGAACTTGAGTGTTTTCCTCTCATATTGCTTTTGAAATAACCTGAAAACAATAAAACAATATAAAGATACATGGTCAAATAACCATGAGTTTGAGAGCTGCTGTATTTTTATTTCTTATTCATATTTCCATTTCAGTATTACATTTTCAATTCACACCTTAAATCGTAAAGTGAGAAAATTGACATGTTGCATATTTACTAATGGTGGAACATTGTATGGCACAAAGAAAACAAATAAGATATCTGCTGTGTTTTCAGGACAACTGGATCGCTCACCAAGACGATTTCAACGAGCTTCTTGCTCAACTGAACAACCACCATGGTCAAAACAACAGCACTGGTATGTACAAATAGCAGCATTGAGATGTTAATATACTGCACTGTTTATAACTTCACAGCATTGTACTGTTCAAAACCAATTATCACTTTGACATTAAAGAAAATGTCTTAATTGATTTCAGTATAAAACTGAAAACAATGTCCTTAAATTTACCACCACAACTCACATAGTGTGTTCAAGTACTTCATTGTCCTCTGTTGTGTAAAAAGAAAAGTTACTATTCAGTTATTATTTCTCTTTATTTGGGTGCGTTTTAATATAAAAGTAGTATAAATATTTGTCCCATATGACTCAGCACTGGCACTGCATTCATTTGAAATATGTCTTTTGTTAATTGCCATCTTGACTTGATGCATGATGTATATTTACTTTCAGTGGTAACCTTCCCAACACTGTGGCTCTATATCACACTACACATGACTACATCAAATTCCAGTACACCTTTTCCTTGTTGGCTGTTCCATCCCTTGGACAGTAGAGGGCGCTGCACGGCAACATTTAGGAGAGAAAACCTTTACATACAGTCACTGCTATACAGTGAACATCTTCATTATTACTGTTCTGGGAATTATATGTTATGTTTGAGATGGTAAAGAGGCACAATGATACTTCAATTTGTAACTATATTTTCTTTATGATCTATAGCTCCTAAAGCTCCACCGGAGGAGCCGAAAGGATTCAGCTTGGAAGAGAAGTCCAAGACTTCCAGAAAGAGGGTCCATTATATGAAGTTCACTAAGGGTGGGTTTTATCTTCTGTTTTCGTTTTGATTCTCAAAAGTCGTGACATTGATTACCCGTAAAACTGTTTGTGTAGTATCATGTGACAAACTAGATTTGATCAACAGCCACATTGTAAAAAAAACCTCCTTAAAATGTATCAGCTTCGGGCCAACGGTGTACTAATTCAAGCCGGTACTGCCAGCAGCAACTCAAGTTTGTGCCTCTACTTTTTAGTTCACGCAGTTCACACACACACACACACAGACAGACAGACAGACAGACAGACAGACAGCTTCCTTTACCTGGTTGAGCCTTGTGCACTTGGCTCAGACCACAGATGCTGATCAGAGCTCTGTCAGCCTGTGCTGGGTCAGTTGGCCCAGGTCAGTGCTAGGGGAGGTTATTAATAATTCACCCTTCTACTTTCATTACTCCTTTACACGTCAGGAAGTCAAGATTTGCTGGTCAAGGCCAGTACACTGATAGGTACGAGGAGAAATTTAATGTTCAAGACCACTGAATCACCACTAGCCCATATTTTACTGCTGAGTTGCTTTACTTGGAGCATAGTTTAGTGATCACAGGCGCAAATTCTTAACAAGATTGTCAGGGTTTGCAGTAATTCTCCAAGTTCTTTTGTAACAAGGAGCATGTGCTTATCAAATATGACCACATGTTAAAGTAATTAATTTGTAATGGTATTTGTTATGGGGTTCATTTGTACCTCATCAGGTCAGCATACATGGGAAAACAAAATATCTTAACTTTTGCCTCACCTGGAAGAGCCTTTTACATTTTACGTCATTCAATAGCGACTTCCTTTTTCCTGTTTGGGGCATCTGGCATGTCCATTTACTGGCCCCCCCAAAAAACAACACGTCCCAGGGGCTGTGACCCACTAGATGACCCTGCTAGATAAAACGTGGCCTCGGTCTCTCCCCAGACCCTCTCACCCTGTTTTTGTGATCTTAATTTGGACAGAGCCAGAAAAAGACCTAGTCCCTGATGGATGAGATGCACCATACAAGGCACACATAAGACATGAAGCACGGACATTAGGGGTGTAATGAAGACTCTTGTTTTTTCTTATTTTCCTCCGGATGTTCTCTTTCCTGCCCTCACTCTTTATACATACTTTATTGAAGTCATACAACTCAACATAACAGCACATTTTCTGACCCATGTAGGCACCTGTGCCTCAGTTGGTGTCTCGTGTTCCCTTTGCTGCTTTGATTATTAATGCATCCAATGCCATCTCTAAATATCCCACCAAACTGAGCTTTTTGAATTGCTACACTTCTATTTAGACAGCTATCCCGTGTCTATCTCTCCCCCCAAAGCAGCCTCATTGACTCCACGCTTCAGTACCTCGATCACGAGTCATGCCACATTTGTCTGCCGTTCATCGCTGGACATTCATGCTGACCGTGAACTTGGGCCTCTTTTATCGTCTTTGCATTAGGATACACTGGCATCCCAACTAATAAAGTCTGATCCTGCAGGACTTTAAGTTCTAATCCATTTGAGAAGATCCCTTCCATTATCACCACCAGCTGTTTATAAATGTCAGGTGAAGCTAAGGAGCAGGTCGTACCTGACACAACTGCTGTTTGTTATATTAAGACATGTGGCATCCACTTTCTTTCAATATCTTTATTTTCTAAGACTGTCAGAGTATAGAGGGAGGCAGTGGAGGTGATGGGACGATAAGCAGGTGGAAATGTTTCCGTTGGAATTTAATCTTTAGCCAGTCCGGACTCTGCAGGCAGCCGGCCTGTCAATTCACTTGTCTTTGGCAACATGATACCACTAAAAGCTGTACAAAGAGTGTAACTGTTGTCATGCAACAGAAGGGATGCTGGCACTACTTGTTTTCCCATAAGCAACTCATAACTTCATTCGAAACCTGAGAGTTGAGTGCCCCGCCTGCCTTAAGTGCTCTGACAGGCATAAACAGTGCACTTCGACTATAAAAGTGTTTTGAGATGTATATTAGAGAAATATTTTTGGCCCTATAGTCGGTGACAGCTACAGGAAGTCTTACTTTATTTATCTGTTGTTTTTTTTTAAATCAACTTTGCTCTGTTGACTTACTGCGTTCAGCTTGTGGTCTAGATTGGCATGGGCAACCAAAGTGTTACCTGGAAACATATAACCTGCCACACCTGTTTGCATGGTTCCACCGACTGCCGGCTTCCCTGCCTGTGAAGCTGTTGCCAAGTTAAGGCTTGGTAATAGATTTAGTGTTGCTAAGCTTGTTACATGAGCGGTTGACAAACGTCTTGTACTACTCTCATAGTTCTGTATGGGCACAGATTGTCTGCGGGCAGGAAAAGGTCAACAGAGGAATCTACCATTAACCTACACTACTAACACTAACACCAAATTTCATGTCACATAAGAAATATTATAAGAGACTTTAAAACTATATTGTTTACTTAGTCTATAACCAAACTAGTCTTTTCTAGTCATTTATTATTGATTGATTGGTTAATTGCCCTTGATATTAAATCTGTAAAAACATTGCTGTGGCCACAGTAGCATCTGAGAGCCTTCCAAACATCTCCCTCTCTGTCTCAGTGCAGGCCTCCTCCTTACTCTCTCCTGCTTTTTTATTGATATCCTGTTCAGGCTGGCTCCCTCACTGCCAGCACTGAGGATTGATGGCCTTTGTTTGCGGGGAAAGGCACCAAACTCTCTGCTCTCTCTGCTTAGGTCCGGGGGCCAACAGCATAAACCAGTAACCCAGTTTTAATTGCAGCCTCCATCTATCACCTGTCACTGCAACAAGGGTGGTTGATGCTGAATTTAACTACAGCTCTCCATCCGTTGCTCTGTGCGGTTGGCTTTATGGCAGTCTTTGGCTTTTTAACGAAACACATTTTTGCATTTCATTTAAGAAATCACGACGGACCATAAATTACAGTATATTATCACCCTGAAGGTGAGCTGAGGGACCATAGGTACTGAGTCGTGTTTTACATTCGTTCCCCGTGACACATTGCATCTAGCTCCCGACATGTGTTTGATACTGTCATTTGTGATTCATCAGATTTGAGTATTTCCCTGTAGAGCTTTATCTGGTTTGACAAGTATCTGTGCTGGCAGTTGTTGCCATTTCAACCGTGTCCTTGGAAACCAGCATGTGTTCACTTTCTACTGCATGTTCGCTCATGCTTCATCCTGCGTAATGGCATTCATCCACCTTTTTGTACGTGTATGGGAAAAGTAGGGTTAAGCTCCTTTTATTTTTTTATCAGAACACTGTTATTTGCACTTTAACCTGAAAAGCCTGAGAATTATGACAGGTACTTCCTCATCCAAACAGCAGCAAGGTCAGATTGGGCATAATTTTACGTTTGACCTGAGTTCACTAGATGACAAACACCACTGGCCCCCCTCCTCATTTATTTTAGTTTTCAACATACTTTCTTGGTTTTACTTCTTAGACCTGCATGTGCAGCGACTTTCAAAGCCAAGAGTAGGGGGAGATAGAGGTTTAAAAGCAATAAATAACCAAATGTTATCAGAGCCCCGCTGAAGGAAGAGGATGCAGCTGTACGAACAGGACCCGGGCTTGAGACAGACGACTGTGTGCTTCAGGAGTCTTTGAGGCCCTGCTTGAAAATGGGAATCCGGAGGCGTGGCGTGGCAGACCTTGTCGTCGGTTTATTTTTCTTTGCTATTTTATCCCTGGAGCAAGAAGCTAACCACGCAAACCTCCCCTTTCTTTAGTCAAGAGACCACCTCCTCCTGCCTTCTAACCCCAACACACACACATACAGACACACAAACATACTAAGGCTTTTAACTGCAACCATTACAGGTTGCTTAGATAAAACAGCTGCCATTAAGATGTCTGCATTTGTGTCCTAATTCATTATTATTTTTATTGGCGGGGGGCTGGGGCTGTGAATTGTTTGTGGTCACCTTTTGGTACATATGCAGAAGTAAAATCCCACTAGTGTGTGCTTATTTTATGTTGTCCTGTTGTTTAAATTGGGCTTTTTTTCTATGTGCTATAACAATAGAGCCCAAAAAACAAACTTGGTTTGTAAGTAAATTTGCTGTATGATTTTTAAAAATTCTATTTTCCCCCTTTAGGAAAGGATCTGTCCTCCCGTACCGAAACCGACCTCAACTGTATCTTTGGGAAGAGAGGGAGATCTGCCAAAGAGCAAGAGCAGGTAAGAAATATCTAGATATATTTTCCATAATCAGAAAAAAAATGCTTTTAAGTTGAATTGAGGCAGCAATTTCTTTCTTCCAAGTTTCCATCTAAAGTATCTTATTTGATTGTTGACAAACAAAAAGATTAAATCCATCGTGAAACAAAACAAACTATAAACAGCATATAAAACAAAGTGTTATGTATGTAATTGAAGCATGACACAAACTAAAAGTTGAAACTTATTTCCATAGTTCCAAAGTGTGTTCAAATGATTGACAGTGTGCAGGATTTTTTTCGGGTCTTTCACAGTTTATGATCAGAGCCTCTAGGACATTACTGTATCATAATTACATCCAAACTAGGAAATATCACCAAGACTAATGCCTATAATATGATTTATATTTAATGTACTATTTCCAGTTCTGAAATATCTGTAGTCCAGGTGTTACTCTTTTTGCAGTGAAAACAGTAGTTTAAACTGCGAGGGCAGGCCTGTGATCTTTCTTAACCCAGTCAATGTCAAGTGTGCAATGGGGGAGGAGGTGGTATACCTCTGGCCAGGTGGCTCAAGCTTATCTGCCTCTGTCTTGGTAATTAAGAATGACCACTGGTGCTGATGCCTCCATCAGACGCTGCGGTATCGTGATCCTTCTGCTTCTACAGGGCCTAGCTCCTGAGCACCCCGTGGCCCTAGATTAGCCGTGTCACAGCGTGCGGCTTTAACACTGCCAACAGGCCACTGATTGCGGCAAGAGCACCTAAATCCAGTTAAAGGATTTGCACTCTTAACCCTCTACTCCTCTTTGTGCAGTTCCTCTCTTGGAGCGCTCACATCAGGTAGTTATAATGCCGGCGGGCATTATTAAAGGCAAATCAAAATTGGGGTTAGGTGTGCAGAAATCTAAAATGATGACGCTTGCAGAAAAAAGTTCTCTTTTTGCTCTTGGCATTGGTGGTTGGTCACTTCAAACGTCACTTTGCCATTTGGCGTTATGCTGGCTCTTATGCTTTTGGAATGTAGCTTACAGGCTCAGACAGGTGAAAGTTGCATTTCTGGCTCGGTAAGTTCCTTATCTAAAACGACACCTTACTTACTATTCAATTACACTGCGTTTGGTCTCTTCCATTTTTATGGTCTATTTAATTAGAAATAGGTTGCCTTGGAATGAAGACAAAAACAGTTATCCCCTTTTTAAATTAAACAGAGGTGTCTGCTAGTGAAACTTGCTGTACAGTTAAACTTATTTGATAAATGTGCAGGGATATATAATTATATATAATATATAATTAAGTCACTGCCTCACTCAGTTGAAAATACTGATGAATAAAATCATCACTTTTGAATAAGTATTGCATATTTAAAATCATAATAATCCCACCAGTGAGATTTGTAAGGACATTTTTAGATCCAGGATGTTTTGGAGGCAGTGTTTGCATGAACATTAACTGTGGGATTATCAGTATAAAGACATGAGAAGTGACAGGGGCAGACACATAACTTCTATGTATTTTATTACGAATTCATGAACCTTCATTTAATAAATTGGTATTTGTGGTGACCCCTCACAGAACCAGAAGGACAATAACAAATTTCGCTTTCTGGACTCAGACAGACACAGAAAAGCTTCTTGCTGGCTTCCTGTGTTTATCTCAAGCGTTTAGCTTGAAGAAATTGGCATCTTGTATTCCATAAATTGCCCAAGAAAAACCTTCTCTATTCCCCAGCAGGTGCCGAGCCATAACATCACAATGGCTGCTGCTCCCTAGCTGATTAACATTGGAAATGCAAGCAATACACACCATCATTTTCTCCCTAATCGTTTGGTTATGGGTTGTTATTTTTCAGCCAGGAGGGACACCATTGACCATATCGAAAACACTGAACACAATTACAATGGCTTCCCATGAGGCCTTTGGTTAAAGCCCAGCAACATCTGAGGTTGCTTGGAAGAGGTAAAGACGGTGATGGACCAATCAAGCTCTAGGCATTGTGTAGGATCTCCTGTGAGTGTCCTGTGAGTATGTCCGTGACACTGCCAGTGACCCTAGATGCACCCTGATCTGTGCTTACAGAACTGTAAATACACACTACAGCATACAAACACATGCAATCATCTCAATACCCCCGAAATAGTTATCTCGCTAAACAGTGACTATATCAGCGTCAGGAGCTTTGGTTTAGTGGTGGAGTTGATTTTTAAGGGTTTGCTCATGCAGCCACCAGTTGCATTATCGCATATCTGCATCCTGACAAGGCGAGGCCAGGAGACTCGACCACATAAGGATCAGTTTCTCCAGGACTGCCCTCCTTCCCGCTCATGAATCTTGAGCTCTTCACCCACCACCCACTGCTGTCTCTCCAGCCTCCCTTCCACTAGTCCCCCACTGCTGGGGTTTTCCTTCCTCCCGCAGTGATGTGCTTCCTGCTCGCCTCTTATCGCTGCTCACAACGCTCCCTGAAACGCAGACAGGCAGACACACACATTCTCACACACACACACACACACACACACACACACACACACACACACACACACACACACACACACACACACACTCACTTGTCCCACATGCCTCTGTTCATCAAAGGCAGCACTGGTTGTGTTGAAAAGATCATATGAGCACATGGGACAGATTATTATATTGTTTGTACGCAAGTAGCTATTAAGTCTCATCCATTATCGTGTTCCACTTGAACCACTGTCTTTAAATTATGTTAATGTTCTGACAGTAGAGCTGTGTTGTAGGTTAAAATCCCCCCTTTTTAAAGTTAACTTTCAAAATTGAAACATTTTCCAGTTCAATGAACCATGTTTTGTTTCGAAGTGTCTTTTTAAGTTGAAACTAAAATGTAAGAGGAATGTTTTTTGTAATATTCAAACACCGCAGACACACAAAAAAGACAATACAACAAGACCACAGTACATTAACTGTCGACACTCTGTAAGATTTAAAAAAAAAAAAAAAAAAACATTTATTGAGTTCACATATTTTGATCATTGAATTTCTGATCAAAGATTAATTAAACAAACCTAAGTAAGCAGTTCAACTTTAGGTACTAAAGGAATTTTAATCATCATTGCTAAAGACATATTTCAGATGATATTCAGGAAGTATGTTCAATTCCCAGTCCAGCTTATAAACAGAAGATTGAGTTTTGAGCACTTAAGAATTAAAAGCATATTAACTCATTCCTGCCTCAGGATGTATGACAGAGCAGGGATTTTAAGCTCTAACATCACATCTATTTATTTAGAACACACTTAAACACACACAAATATACACTGTCCACTTAATTACGTACACCTGTGCAACCTAATGCAGTCCAATGCTGTCTTATCATAAATTCATTGATGTTTTAACATTGAGGTCGTAGTGAGTGGTGGTGTTGTGCAGGACTGCATTACTCCAAGAGGTGTTTATAATATTCTGCCCCCCTCGTGTAAATGGGAAAGACAAAAAATTAGGAACACTTCTTAATATAATCCAGTTCAGTACACCACCACCACTGTAACTGTGACTTAACTAATAAACCAAAAAAATTGAATTCACACATTTCCTACAATGTCAACAAAAACAGAACATTATAAACTTTTTAAAGGTAAAATTTATGGCAGAGTTGTTGTATTAAATTGCTATAGATTTTACAGGTGTACCTACTAAAGTGGCCTCTGTGTATACATACTGGAATTATACGTTCATTACACTTGTGTAAAATTACTTGTTAAATATAAACAATTGTCGACAAGATAAATGGATGACCACCATTTTACCCACATCCTCTTTGCACCTTACTGTGTAGCCAGCTGAAAATGTATGCTTAAAACCATTATTTACAGTCCCTGACCTGTGAGGGTTATCAAGTTGTGGTGGAGCACCTGTCCATCTATGTGGTTCTGTTATCCATCACCCATCCCACGCTTGCGAGCCCCCTCCATCTCCTGCCTCCTCCTGTGCCCCTCAACACAATTACTCACAGTATGACAAACGACAGGCTCTCTCTGCCGAGATATCAAAAAGCCCCGGCCACTTCTAAATGAAGGCACTTTGGCAGCCCTGTGCTCCCTGTGCTTATCGGCGGGCGAGCAGTGCCCCTGGCCGTCCTGCGTCCCCCTCTCCTTCCCCCTCCTTCTACACCATCGTGCCCTCCTCAGGGGGTTTAGTTAGGGGAGCCACATGGAGGGCCAGCCCGGCTTGATTTATCTCCCTTGCCCCTCTGCCCGGCCACTCAGGCAGGCCGAAAGAGCCGACGAGGCTCCAACGGGCCTCAGCTCGAAAGCCCGGCATTAGCTGAAATAAACCATTCTGCCGCCCAGTGAAAAATGTCCTCTGATTGGCTAATTAATCAGTCAAAGGGGAGCGACGCGGCTTGTGACTTGAGGGACCCAAGCGGGCGACCGCAGAGGGCCTGCTGATAAATAGTCTCCCCGCCGATTCATACATCAACAAAAGTTAGTCATTTTTTAAAGCCGCCAGCTCAGATGAAAGGTAGAAACAAGCCATAGTTTTATTTTTCCACCTATATTTCCTTCTACATTTCTTTTTTGGGTGTGTGTGTTTTTGAAAAGGGGAAAAATCTTTTTTTTTTATAATTATTTTTTTACTTTTACTGCTACATTTTTTAGAAACCTATTTCTAAATTATATAGTATAATTGTAAAATGGTCATGCCTTATATACTGACATTCACATGTCTATTGTTATAAGTTCAATATTTCAGTTTTTTCATTTAGTCTTCTGAATATTGATATTGTTGAAGAATCCCCAGCATAATGTTTTATATGATTTTGTTTTATGCAATCACTAATTTAAATTTTCAGTTTATTAATCAGCACAGTAAAAAATAACATTCATATCTAATTAATTCTTACAGTCGATTAACAGAGACTATTTCACTATTAGAAACATCAAGATTGTTACCGTACTGACCTGTTCTTTAGTTCTGCACACACACAAAATCAGAGGGAAGAAAAGTGGTTGAGTATGATTTGGTACAAGGCTTGTTTTGACGTCTAAA